TTACTATATAAATATATAAATATTATAAATATAAATATTATTAGGGTACAATGAAAAGTTGATTGACGATAGTTATTTGTACTATCAACTAATTTATGGCTTTTAAGTGTGATTGTTGTATAAAATATTACTTAAACGCTATTTGTCAAACTTCCTGAAAATTTGATATGATTTTATTGCCACTGTTATCATAAATATTTTATGTTGCCAGTTTACAACCTTATTATTTTGTATCGACATCCCTACTTGTAGATAAACAAAAAGTTTTTTAATCAAATTTTGTTTATTAATGTTGTGTTAATTGAAATTTTAAGAAAAACTATTCTGCGGGCTTGTAATGATGTTTACTGATAAATACCGCGTAAGTATGAAATGGTCGAAGCTCGCGTGATATTGCACAACAGGTGCCATATGACCATTTGTTGGCCACATACAGTCAATCGTTTGACAGTGATTATCAAAATTTTGTCAAAGCGTCTATCATATTGCGGATAATGATTTTTTTTTTGCAAAGTACTTACTTCTAGGCTTAACTATTATCATTAACATTTCCAATTGAAATCACTATTTGTTGGAATGTTTTCTTTTCTCAAAAATAAGTGCTTTTGTGTGCGATCGATTACGTGGATCATTAGCATCCAAAAAAGTGTCATTTTTATCTTAGAATTATTGTTTACTTGCTTCCTTGATAAAATTTGCTAAAAAAAATTATCTAAAACCTGTCATAATCGTTCAGTTTATGTGATAAAATTCTATTACGATCTAATTCGTGTTGGATTGACAAAATAATGTTTGATGTTGATGAATAAATTATTGTCTTCTTTAAAGTATTACAATTAGTAGAGTGCAAAAGTATTAAAAAAAAGAGGTGTTTCTTTTTGTGTGTGTGCTAATAAACCTTTAAAAATTGTATTAACGCATCAATCGTATTTTACTTTAAAATACGTGACTTGCTAATTGTGTGAGCATAATTATTACCGAACCTAAAGTGTTTAATTGCAATCCGCCTATAATAATTGCTTGGCTATTTTAAGATTATGTTTTAAATTAAAGATGTGCGATAAATAAATAAAAGTTGTGATTTGTTACATAAATTTTAAGAAAGTTGCAAGAATAAATTAAAAACATGTTAGTCAATTAATTTGAAATTTCTGTGAAAACAGGTTTCTACGACTTTATTTCCGTCAAGTATTAGTTTTTATATAAACTTGTTCTATTGTTGTTAATTTTTTGAAATTTATAATTACATGAGTAATATTACATTGTAACTTTTTACAAACCATTGTAGTGGAAATAAACTGACAAACAAACTTTTCAGCAAATCAGAGCTTGAAAAACGTTTATAAGATTACTTGAGATGTTTTGTAATGTATGAGTGTGTGCAACTTTTTAGCTACATTATTTAAACTTACAGTGTTTTCACGTACAATCTATTTAAAATATCGACTTGAACGTTTTAAACTTTGTGCAATAATAGTAAAATTTGAAAAACACACATTTAAATGACATACATAAATAAATATATATATGGGAGAAATTAAGAAAATCAAATAAATCAATTTTAAATAATAATTTTCAGTAATTTTCTGAAATCTTGAATTCGTAGTGGTCTTTCCATCGCCATTACTTCCAAAAATCCATTTATATTATTATGTTGTACAAATCTAAATAAAATTGAAATCAAATTCAAAATAAATTTTTAAATGCTTTCCACTTATTAAAAGAAGATTTTGTACTTATTTCTTTCACCATTTTAATGAGGAAATATAAATAAGTATTTATCTATTAAAAAAATATAGAAACATCCATTGGAACGGACAAATTTATGTCATCTCAACCATCTGGGATAAAACATTTTTTTAGAAATGAAGTGAAAATTAAAAGGCTAAAAAATTATTGTTTTGTTTTTCGTAAAAGTAACACTTCATCACAAAATATTCGACTCAAGGATATTACTGAAATTCAAAGGTAATGTGCTACGATGCTTAAATTACTTTTTATGGGAAACAATCTACAATCACCATCTGCAGGCAGCAAAAGTTCAGAATGTCTCAGGTCTCATAAATGTGTCATCTCCTGAACCGAAGAGGAGTGTGAGAATTCCAAGCAAAATTCTCTGATCAATGCGTGAGAAGACAGTTATCATTTTCAGCTGAGCGAGGAAAAAATGATTCAAGTTGGATAAAATTATTATTATCATATGTATTTAATTGAAGATTTTGGCCTCTAGTTTGCAAAACTGACCACGAAACCTCGTTACAGAACGAGAACGTAAGACATATTATGATATAATCATACCTAAGCTGTTTCTTTATTTTACTTACACCCCACTCGGAGATAGATTCAAAGCGCTTCAAGCCTGTTGACATCGATAAATATTTCAATAGTGGATACCTATATATTTTTGAGGCGCTCTAACAAGGATAAACTATATTATTTTGACGTTTTTATTCAAAAGCTGAATATTTTATCAAATTAATATAAGCATATCAATTTTCGATGAATTTCAAATAAATAGATAGGCTCTGTATTATAAAAAAATGTTTAATTTACGTATCATAAGCTTGTACAATTAGTAATACAAAAGAAACATAATATTCTTACAACATTCATGATAAATAGAACATTTCTGTAACATTTATTACATTATATAACAAATTATAAAAAAAATTCATAGCCTACGCACCTATTAACCGCGACGTAGTAGCGCGACGGCTATATCACGAATATTAAATCTTTATATGATATATCTATACATATATATATTTATAAATAAAAATAATATTAATA